CAAGAAGAAAGAAGAAAAACTTACAGGACCAGTGAATAGGTTCTTCTTCTTGATCGTCATGGGTTTTCTTCTATAGAAAAAGAAAGAGCTGTTTTGTTCAAAAACAGAGGGACCTTGCTTTGCAGGATGGAGGGGACCACCATTCAATTTAGTCATCTCTGTGTCTCTCTGGCAGTAGTTGTTTTTATGATAAAGCACACTACTTAATTAGATCTCGAAGCTAGCTCCTAGTAATTTTATGGACACTCGAAAATGGAAGAACGACTGTATTATTTGTGGACAGTTTGGAAGCAGAAACTCTTTTGCTTTCCCTCTGGAGCTAATTGTTTTTGGTTTGCATTAGATGCCTAAAGTGTAGGACTTCTTCGAAGCTTGATGTAGGTCTGGTCTGCGCTCAGAAGATACTTTAGAAGAGAGTATGACCTAGATATTAGAATAGCAGCGCCATGTAGGTCTGCGCTCAGAAGACAATTGGGCAAATTTTTCCTCCTGCAAGATGGAATCAAAGTATGGTAGTCGTAAGAGATAGCAAAATGACATTGACAGAAGCGGCTAGAGTGGAGAGAGCATGAAGGGATATGTTTGCAAGAACCCATATATATATATATATAGATAGATAGATAGATAGATAGAAGATTAAGGTAATTGATTTGGGCCAACGTGTGATGCAGATGCGTGTAGGCAATTATAGTTTTCCCGTTTTTTTTTTTTGTTTATGGCAGTTGCTTGTCGGTTGATACGATCCGAAGACATTCCGCAAACTTTTGTAAATTATATAAAACACCTTTAACTTGACATATTTATAACACTTTAAATGGTGCAAAAAATTATTAACAAAAAAATTCTAATTATTTATCAGATTACAATTGTTTTTATTTAATGATTAAAAAATCTCCATGCATAAAAATAACAAATCTTCTCGTTGAAACACACAAATCTTCTCATCAAACCACACATTTCTTTTCATCAAAACAGCACCCTTCTTCTCATCATCGAAAAATCTTCATAAACACAACCGACAACTTATACTCAATAACTTTCATTGTCTTTTGTCAAATAAGTTGTGGAAGGATTTTTCATTATTATAAAAATAATTTAAAAAAAAATTACTATCACACTTTCCACATTTAAAATACTACATCTACGTGTACAATCGGACATTTTACATCGAAATTATTGGATATCGTTCTACAGACCACGGCCGCGTCCTGAATTCCTGTTCCTGTCGAACCCGTGTAGTGGTCATATTATTTTAATTTTCCGAAACTTCTAGGACATCTACTTAGGTGTCACGTCCAGTCAAGTGGCCCTCTAAAGTCTAAACGTTGTCCATGTTTACTGAATTATAGAGCATCCACATTTCTGGTCGGAAAATTACAGAAAGCTCCTTGAGATTTTGAGGCCTCTCTTCGGTTTCCTACGCTTTAACTTGTCAGTATTAATTAATAAAGGTAGTTCCGTTTCTCTTGATATTCCTTTAGGGTTGATGGGAAAGAATAACATTGACTACTCGATTGCAATGGCAGGTGCATTAATTACATTTAGGCATGTAACTTTTGGGATATTAATGCAAAATTCAGAATTGTAAACTCAAACAAAATTGAATTTATAAAAAATTGGCTGGGTGGAAGTCCAAAAACCAAAAATATGTGTAAGGCCTAAAAGGAAGAAGGTTTAGGGATTCGAAATATGCACTCAATGAATAAGGTTTATGTAATGAAGTTAGGATGGGGTATTATCCATGACAACAATAATCTATGGGCAGATGTCCAGAGGAGTAAGTATGTTAAGACTCAAGATCGTATACCACAAGTCCAACCTAAAGGTAAGGACTCTCCGTTGTGGAAAACAATCTGTAAAATTTGGCCTCAGGTTATTGAAGACCTAGGTTGGTCTGTTGGGAATGGAGTAGAAGTTCGGTTTTGGAAAGACAACTGGCTGGAAGGTATCGGCCCGCTAGTACAGCATGCTTTACAAGATATTCCAGTGGAAAATTTAAATGTATCAGTAGCAAACATGGAGTCTAATATTCAATGGAGATGGGATTTCTTTGCTCATTTACTCCCCATACAAATGATTATGGTAATGGCTAGCTAGCTAGTTATCCTCCTTCTAGTACGTACCATCGAGGGAGATGCAAGTTATTGGTGTAAATTTGCAAGTGGTGTGTTTACTGTAAAATCTGCCTGTTACGACCACATGAGCATTGCAAGCCAGGTTAGAAACAGGGATCCTATTTCGAGATTGATATGGAGTTGGAAGGGATCGGAGAGAATCAGACCTTTTCTTTGGGGGGCAGCTCATGATAAATTGACGGCGAATGAGAATAGATGGCGTAGGAATTTAACTGACGATCCACACTGTCACCATTGTTCTTTGAAAAAGGAACCTATGCTTCAAGTGTTAATGGACTGCAGTTTAGCTCAGGATGTGCGGAAGGTTGTGGTCAATTCGAGGGATAGAAGGAGTTTCTTTGATGATGGGTCGGTCCCTCCGCTGGAATGGTTGACGTTAATATGGATGGTTGTAGTAAAGGAAATCTAGGATTAGCTGGTACTTGCTCTTATGGCGGAGCAGAATTGTGGGTAGTAGTTTCGGGCCCCAAACTAGCTTAGGTCTTTGGGAATTAAAAGGCTTGTTTTGCAGTCGGATTATTTACCAAAGGACACTGTGAAAATTGATGTCAAGCAAGTGAATTGCTGGCACGACAGTGGGAGGTTAAAGTTCAACATGCGTTTCAAGAAGCCAATGCAGCAACAGATTTGTTATCTAATTTTGGATTAACTAAAAATCATTTTTATAAGGATCACTGTATCTTCAGGGATCCTCACATAAATTGTACTTGTTTCTGTATTACAACCTCATTTCACCGACCTTCTCATTTAATTTAGTTTTTTAGAGCGTCAAGCCCGATTTCAACCAAAAATAAATAAATAGCAATTGAATTGCTGGATAACTGGGGTACTGATCTCTCATCTTTCACATAACTGTTTTAAAAGACGGGGAAAGCAAAGTATAGACAAGTACTGGTAAATTTGCCACCGAATTTACTGGGGTTGGATTAATTTTTTTAAATACAAAAAAATAATAATATTAAGAGCATAGAAATTTTTTAAAAAATATTATTAAACCTCATCAAATTAATTTTGAAACTTCCTAACTCAGGTCTTTGTTTAACTCAAGTTTTTTATTAAACTATGTAAAAGCTAACTCAATTTAAATCGCTCAATTTTATAAATCTAAATACAACCTTGATGATTAATAATAACATGATTTATCTTTTAAAAAACCTTTAAGATAATAAATTTTTAAAAACTAAGATAATGACAGATTGGATCGACCTCGACCCCCCGTGACTCGGGTCATAAACTTTATTGGGTTTAATAATTTTTTATATAATTACATGATAAAAATAAATGCTCACAAAATTGAGTACCAACCTAAAAATAGACACTTATTTGAGACATTATCCCTATAAAGCAAATAAAAATCAATAATGCAATTCATTTACTAACCAATATAATATTAAATGATGAAATTAAAAAAAATAAAAATAATTAAAAGACAAAAAAATAATTTAACCTATCGGTAGGTAAACTCATCAAAGCCGTGAATCAGGTAAGCAGGGTAGGTATGCTAAACATGCAAACTGAGTTATGAACTCTACTGAAATTATAATTTAATTTTTTCAACACTATTTTTTATTTAACTATATGATAACAAATATAGATAATTGTGAAATTAAATACCAACTCAATATTGAGATGGTTTTTTTAGATCGCTATAACTTCATAAAAAGCGAAACGACATCAATTATAAAATTGAATTCTCAATAAACTCAGTATCTAAGAATAAAAAAAACTAATTTAAAAATGTTAAACATGTTAAACTCACAAACTAAGTCAATCAACCAAACATATGAATAGGTTCATGGACTTTATAAAGTTTAATAATATAAATTTTTTGTTTGAAACTATTTTTATTTAACTATATGAGAAAATTAAAAGAGTCAAGTTCAATTAAAAAAAACACCCTACCAAACTCGTAAAGTAGGGCAACCAAAGTTACCCTGACAAACCCGCAAATCATATTACCTTAAAGAAAGGTAAAATAAAAAGAAATAAATTATAAAGCTAAATTCTAAATCATTCCAATATTAAAAGATAAAATCAATAAAAAAATTAAACAAAATAAAACACTATAAATTACTATTGTCATTCATAGTACAATGTGTGTAGGTGAACAATAGTTTTCTCTTACCCTTTAATTTTTGTTAATTTATAAAATTTAATAACATGATTTTTCTCTAAAACTATTTTTTAACTATAAAATAAACAAATAAACTATAAAAAAATCAAGTTTAATTAAAAAAAATAGACAACCCACCAAAATCATAAATCGGTACAATCTAGGTTACCTTGAAAAAAAACTCATATAATAAGCTAACCTCATATTTTGGCAAAACAAAATAAAAATAAAATACTAAATTAAAGTCTCAACAATCTCAATTTTAAAAATAAAATAAAAAAATAGATTTGAAAAAAATAAATCATAAAAAAAATTAAAAAACATAAAAAAAAACATTAACATAAAGCAACAATAGATATTGGGTAAACAATAATTTCCCCAACATCATTTAGTTTTTATTATTTTATAAAATTTAATAACATGTTGTTTCTTTAAAACTATTTTTTTATCAATATAAAAAATAAAAAGACAATAAAAAAACTAAGTTCAATTAAATAAAAAACTATCAAATCCATAAATTAGAACAACCTAAATTACCTCTACAAATCCACAAACAATACTAACCTTATAGAAAGATAAAAATAAAAATAAAAATAACTACAAAGCTAAATTCTCAATCATTTAAAAATTTAAAAATAAAATTATTAGAAACAATTTAAAAAAATCATAAAAACATAAAAAAAACCATATATTAAAAAAAAAGAGTAAATATTCCAACAATCTACAATATTTTATAAGAAAAATTATTGTACTTTCTATACATGTTTTAGCTTTTCTTATTATAAAGAAGACCAGACTCAATATTGAGCTATATATAACATTACAGTATGTTACAGTAATCTTCATTGACATATTTTGATCCTCATCCACCCAATGGTATTGTCCAAGCCCTTTAGTTGTTGTACTTTTGGCAAAATTTATTAGACACAACATTATTCATAGCTATCGGATGTAAATGATTAAAAGAAAAAACACCATTGACACTTGGGAAGCTGGAACTATATTGCAAATTTGAATCTGCAATTATTTAACTCAAATTAATCAGCTCTTATGGTTTTGTGGGCAGGCCGTGTCTCTGGAGTCTGGTGGACCTATGAACAATTCTGTCTCCACCTCGATAATTTGCCGGTCTTGTAATATTTGTGGCGTCTTGGTTGCTAAGAGGTCCAGTGGTTGCATCCCACACTGCAAAAATAAGTCATCAAACAAAATTATTACCAACAAAATAAATAAATAAACAAAATTATTGCCTGAAGGAACGATCTCGGCACAGACAGCAAGCATAGCCACGAGCACCATAAAATCTGAACTGGTCCTGAAGCTTGATAGATCTTTTATACAGGTTTGACATTTCTATATTTAATGCTCTCTTTTTTTTAAAAAATAAAAATAAAAACTAGTATGAGTGACAAGCCTAAATTCCTGTGTGCTATGCCACACACAATGGCGACGCATTCCTCAAAAACACAACCAGAGATGATCAGGATCTAGAAGTTCAAGCTGGATGGTAACATACCTTCTCCCGCAACTTCGTGTTTTCTTCCATTAGGATTTTCTCCTGAGAAACGTCAGTCAAAAGAGATGATAGCAGATAAGGATAATGCTTACCAAAATCTATACCTAAGAAGGTCTTGAACAAGCATGTATTATAAAATAATACGCATGGAACCTGAAAAATTACCTCGCCCTTTAGCTTCTCAATCTGCTCCCTGAATAACTGATTCTGCAAGTGCACAAAGCAAAGACAGTTCAATATTCAGTAAATCTCTCATAATAATAATTTTAGTCCTATGGTATTAAAATGAAGCAAACTATAAACAACACTATTTTTTCGCAATCATAATTAAAATTGAATGGCGCTCATGCTAAACATGGGAAAGATCAAAGAAATGGGGACCAGAAAATAACAGTAATTTGATAGAAAACATTGATGTTACATATACTTGTCATATACTTCCTACATCTTGTTGTGTCTTTTAGCAATAGTACCAAGTGACCTGTATCGAAATTATTCACATTAATCATGTTTTTTTTTTCTGCTCATTGTGGATGCAGATCCAACCATAATTAGGCACGTACTATCTTTTTCTTTTTTTTGATGAAAACGAGTGATGATTTATTAATAAAAAGGGAAGAGCCAAAGCATACACCTGCAAACAAACAACCTCTGTTAAAAGTGGCCTAAGGAATAGGTTCCTGGGTAAAAAAACAAAAGAACATAAATGAAAACCACAGCACAAGCGTGTAAGAAATTGTTACTTGCTCTTCAAATTAATTTTTATATAAAAATGTTTATATATATATAATTTATTTTTTTATATCAATATATTAAAATAATAGTACATTGAAAGGTAACAATACCACAAAAATTTAAATATTTTTAAATATATTGTGTTTTTTTAAATGACCTGCTTCATTTTATTTTTAATAATAATTCATTTAGTTTTAATAACTTATTAGGCTACTTAATAATGATAATAATTATCCATTAAAATGATTAGTTGCAATCCATTTAAAATTTAACAGGACTCATAAATAGGTTAATTGCAATCCATTTAACTCTCAATATGATTAATTAATAATTATAGATAAAATTTTGGGAAAATATTCATATATATAATTATTTTATCTATTTATTTTTATTTTCAATATTTATCTATTTTTCTAATCTGGTATATTAGAATTTCTTTTCAAGAATTTTTAGCTATCAAAACACTTGATTTAATAACGTCATTTTGATTAATAATTGTAAAAAAAAAAAAAAAAACCTCTAGCAGTCCCCAGAAATTACAGTGCATGTGTAAGAGCCAAGCTACACGATCATCAAGTGGCAACACCAGACTTGGCCAATGAAACACTACACAGATTTGACTAAAGGATTATGAATTACAAATCGAAAACGCCGACAATTTATATTTCAATTCCAATAGTACAAGTAACTAATTCCATACCAAATACCAATAATATGCCATAATAATCATCATCTTCTAGTTGACCCTTTTTTTGGCATGTTCCCTCAATTCCAATAGTGCAAGTAACTAATCACTCGTATACTGTTCAACTAATTGATAATCCTTTTTTTCAATTTCTAATAAACTGAATATCATACAGATGGAAATCAAGGAATGAATAAAAGCTAGGCAGGTATTCCCTTGTTATTTTTGCACATATATGTAGTTCTATTGTGTTTACTTGTTTTATAGGTTTTTTTTATAGAAATTTGTTGTATAAATACATGATTTATACATATTAGATTTTATTTGAAATTTTAAAAAATTATATTTGTTTATCATTTGATGAAATTGAATTTAATTTTGTAATTTAAATGTTTTATAATTAAATAAATAATGAATTATTTAATGAGATCGTTTCATATTTTATCAATTTTATTGTTAAGTTGGAAATTTAGGTAAAATTAGAGGAATTTAGGTTTTTTTTGAGAAAATTAATAATCATTAAATGATACTATTAAAATAAATTGAATAATTTTAAATTCAACCAATAATAACTAATTAACGAGTTAATGATAATTTGTTTAGTTCACATTATTATTTAACATATGTTGTTATCAATATTCTATCAATATTCTATATAGGTTCATATAAGTAATGGATGGGTAATCATTCTTGTATGTATCAAGTTTCACCCATCGAGTTATGCATGATAAATTATTGTAATAGGATTAAGGATAAATTATTGTAATAAGATTAAGGGTTTTATTAATTACGTATTATCTAATCTGAAAGATATTAGTGGAGGTAGTATTAGATATTCATATAAGAGGTGTAAAAATAAAAAGTTTCTCAATCCAGATATTGTTATAATGCATTTTCTACAAAAAAAAGGTTCATGAGAAAATACTTACATTGATTTGCTAATGAAGAACCCTACTTTCCTTATGAAACCATGGTAGAAAGGATGGCTAGATAAACTTCTAGTTCTAGCAACGTGTAATGAGTTGTAAATGATAATAATAATCATTATAGATGTAATGATGATGAATCAATGTTATACAGGTGAATGATCAATTTCAGATAAATAACCAAATGCAGACACAACTAGGTTTTTTGAACTTTTAAAAGATTTTAATGAATGATCAATTTCAGATAAATAACCAAATGCAGACATAACTAGGTTTTTTGAACTTTTAAAAGATTTTAATGAATGATCAATTTCAGATAAATAACCAAATGCAGACATAACTAGGTTTTTTGAACTTTTAAAAGATTTTAATGAATCATTGTAGGATAGGTGCATAAATTATAATAAATTATTAGTTATTGCATAAGTATTCGCCATCAAGTCAAATCATAGGTTGAGTGAGGTGGATTAAAACATAATTGTTGGAAGGGCAAAAAGCATTTTATCCGAAGAAAATGGGTTGAAAAACATCTATGTTTCTAAATCCATGATGAAACCTCTTAGCCTAGAATACCAGAAAATTGACATGTGTTTGAACTTTCACATATTGTACTATAGTGAAAATACAGATTTGATTGAGTGTAAAACATGTAAACATGCTTAGTATGAACTCAGAACTGGCAGAGAAAAAACTCTTCTCGCACATAAAAAAACTAAGATACTTCTCAATTACTTCTAGATTACAAAGGTTATTTATGTCTCCAAATACTGATGAGCATATGACACGACATCATTCATATAATGTGATGGATAGAGTAATGGTAAAAAATTTTGACAGTGAAGTCTGGAAACAGTTTAATAAGATGTGTCCTTATTTTTTAATAGAACTACAAAACATAGGTGTTAGGTTATATACAAATGGATTCAATCTATTTGATACTCACGGTTTACAACTAGTTACCGAAGATATGTATAAGATTGGAGTTCATGTTCTTATCTATGAGCATGCTTGGTCCTAATAGTCTAGGTAAAAATATAGATGTTTATCTTTGACCGTTGATTAATAAGTTAAAATCAATTATAGTCATTTAAGACTTTAACATATGATATCTCATGAAAACAAAATTTTCAGATGAAAGCAACTTTGATGTAAACTATCAATAATTTTTCTATGTATGTGATTGTTTCTGGTTGGAGCATGCATGTAAATTATTAGCATGCCCAAAGTGTATAAAAAATAACAAGACTTTTAGCTTAACAAAAAGTAGTAAAACATCCTTTTCTTTTTTCATCGTAGGTTCTTTCCAATCGATCATAAGTATAGAAAGAATATATATGAATTCTTTGTAGGTAAAGTTGAAAGGAATGTTGCACTGCCGATATTATCGGGTGAAAAATTGTATGACATGGTCTTGTAGTACGAGGACATTATGTTTGATTTTCAATCTAGTAAGTAAAAATTTTCTAATTTTTATGTAATCCATAATTAGGTAAAATAAAATATTTTTTGGGATAAGAAATACTAATCTCCTCTACCATAATCTAGATGTCATGCATATAAAAAAAACATGAATGAGAATATTTTTAATACGGTGAGAGACATGAAAGAGAAAACTAAGTACAACATGAAGGCTAGGATGAATATACCTGTATTTTGCTACCATGAAGATATGAACTTGGTTTATGATAAGTTACAAGTCACAAAGCTCAAAGTCAGTTTCACCTTAAATAATAATGCATAGTTATTTGTCTATCAATGACTTAAGAGTTTATGTTTGTTTTTTTTTTTTTAATGGATGTGCTTTAGACATCTAGATTAAAGAATTTATATTGAAGAGCATGGTCAGGTAGAAAGATCTATAATTGTGAAGTTTATGTTACGAGATCAATTTTTAATGAGTTTGAAATTGATTATTATGGAAAGTTATAAGAGTTGATTGAATTGTAATATTATAACGAGCATAATAATGTCTTATTTTTTTTTCAAATACTATTGGTATGATACCTCTAATAAAGGAATCAAATTTGATCCTTATCATGGTTTGGTCGAGATTAATACAATGGCTAGACTTCATAACGTCAACGATATTTTTTTTCCACAATGTTAATAAGTTTATTACACACTCACTCCTTCATTAGAAATGATGGTTATAGGGTTTGATTGATTATTCGTAGTGAAAACCAAACTCATGAGTTATGTCCAAATTGTTTAGGATGATAACAATGAAATAACCATAGGAGACAATGCTTTTTAACTTGATGAGTTAGTTGATGTATATCAAGTTGCTTCGTCTATGAAATTAGAAAAAAAATCAAATTTTCATATAGCTAAAAATATTATTGTTGGTGTTAATGGTGGAGGGTTAAATGATATATTAAGAACTAGTAAACATACAAAAATAGATTAAGATAATGGGATGGACAAGTTTCAATATATTAAATTAAGAAAATAATGATGGACATGACAATGATGAAATGAAGGAAGTTTTTTTTATGATATGTTTTTTGTCCTTATCCATTAATAAAGTTTTTTTTAATTAAATAAGTGTTTAAACATCAATAAAATATTTTGTCCATAATATGCAATATCATGGATGTGATAATTTGATGAATAATAATGCTTAACAAAAGAAAAAGATATATGTAAGATGGGAAGCTACTAGAACTCATTTTTTTATTACAAGTTTGCAATAAAATATCTTATCTTTGATAAAAAAAAAAAAAAGAAGAACAAGAACAAGAAAATAATGAAAATTACGGATTAATTTATATCTTGGGATTTATTTTAAAAAAATCTAATTTTTTTAAATAATAAGAACTTTCTTTTAAATTTTTTTATCTCTATTGATCTTTCTCTTAATCAGAGATAGGGAGGAAGCTATTTATCACCATGAATAATACATTGTGATGTTATATCAATATTATAATAGGTAATATTTTATTTTTTTTAGAAGTGATTCATGCTTTTATATATAATTATGGATAAAACTAAGTTATGAATATTGGATGCAAACTATATTGACTGGCAGTATAGGCAACATTATTATAATGCCTGAGCATTAATATAAAAACTCTTAAATCACTTTTTGCTCTAAAGAACTTATCCAATATTCAAATCGATTCGATCAGTTATCCATCCCATTTGATATTATCATCATCGCTGAGCATAAATAAAACATCAAGAGCAAAGGAGATGACTTTTAGATTGACTTGACCAATAAAAAACAAAGAGGTTCGCAATTAATCCATGCTTAGAGCATTAACAGAGAGATTCACGCCCCTAATTCCTTATATATTTGTTTGATTGAATGTTGAACTGAATGATGCAAAATTTTTTTAAAAAAATGAGCAGTAATTAATCAAATAAAGTGCCTAGAGTTTTCATAGCACAAATTCCTCTTGCCTTTTCATCTATCTTTGAAGCTCAGTTTGTTGTTTTACCTCCTCCCATTTTCTTTAATCAAAGGCTTATCAAATTTTTACTTGTCAATCCATTTTGATTGTGCTGTTTGTTAACTTAATATTTTTTCTCAGAGGATTAAGCTCTTGAATGTATATAGGTTTTAGCTTAATTGTGTTGTTTTAATTTGTCTCAAGATGTTGAGAAGCTGGCTGCATTTCAGAATAGCAAACGTAAATAGCAAGGTTAACCTAAACACCTAAAGGTTACCATATCAGGCCTAACAACAAGGCCTTTCCAGGCTTAAGGTTGACACTAAATTAATTTTTTATTTTTATTCTGAAAGGTAGAAGATTATTACATCTTGAAATTAGTCAAAACAGAAGTATAAACGCCGAGGACCAAGCCCAATCAATACTTAGGTAGGCGGACCAATTAAGGATGATATGTTTTTCTAGCCTCTGAGGCCATGACCTAGCAGAGGCGGGTGGATGCTGGAGGTGGAGTGGTTGTCTGGTGCTTTTTGAGAGTTCTATTTGGCCTTGAAGTTTAGAATGGAGTAGCAATCATAATTCTTAATGCTCAAATCTTACTTCACTGAGCTAGAAATAAAAAAATTATCAAATATATAAATGTTAGGCTTCTTTGCTTTGTTTAGATCTGCATTTCAACTTTTGGTTTTATTTGTGGGAATTACTAATCTACTTTTGATTTCATATTAATATTTTTTCAAAAGTGAATTCTATATATTTTTATATACTTTTTCAAAAGTGAATTGTATTGTTTAGGAGTGTGGCCTAAATAGAGTTCTTTAAAATTTATTTTTTTATGTTTTCGAATTATTTTAATGTATTAATGTTAAAAATAAATTTTAAAAAATAAAAGAATATATATTATTCTAATGTATTTTTGAATGAAAAACACTTCAAAAAATATTTGTAATTACACTCTCAAACACCCCCAAAAATAACTACTAATTTATCATAAACATGTCTTAAAACGAATCAAATTTATATATTTAGAAAAACTCTCTTTTTTTTTCGGTTACGGGATAGGCGTGAGCTCCACGCCCAGAATTTGGTAACCAAATGGGTGAAACTTCGGCTTTTGGAGCTGAAAAGGTGTAAGACTCAAAATACCAACTGCAACAGGAATGCCAAATGAATGGACACTAACTAATTCCAGTAATTACAATTTAAAACACAATTGATATTGTCTTGATAACTTAACGAAATTAAATACGATGTGCTCTAATTAATTAGACATACCTTTCTTGCCCTAATTCTTGTTAAGCTTCGCTCCAATTGATTCTCCAACTGTTGCAGCTCATCAATGGAACATGGTTCCAACCCATCTCCTAAGAGCTTTCTGCAAATTATCTTCATTTTTAGTTGTTCATTCCAGCACAAAGATTGAAGAATTTTGGGACAATAAGTTTCAAAATGAGCCTCCAACCTCTTAGAGACTTCAAGAAGCTCTATCTTCTTGGCCAACGTAAATGCATCTTCCTTCACAGGCTGCATGCAAAATTAACAACTACGTTTGAAAAACACAATCCATTAGAAAAGGAAAGGATGGAATTGCATTTCTTTTTCCTCTGAAATATCCTATATGCTAATTAATATCATTTTATACTATCGAATATACAGAAAATGATATGCTATCACATTGAAGCCTTTGGTCAAAGTTTGCCTTATGATCATCAAACACAGTACAATTCTTTTTCCCTGTGCCAGCATATCTCAGGAAAGAAGGGTGATGGTGTGCTCTTCATATAGAAAATTCATGTTACGTTACAGCAATGTCTTGGTAGCTATATTAACCTTAACGTACGTCTTGGCTTTAATTTGATTCCTCAGTTCACAGAGTTTGAGTAAATGGGAAGGAGTTCATATTACATGTTCTTTTTCAATTTTGTACGAGAGCTAATTGGTTTATACCTGCATATTGTCTTTAACCATTTTGCCGCTGGTTCCAACATCCTTGGCTCTCTTCTGATAGCGTTCTATCGTCCTATTCATACTGGAAAGATCCATAGCAGAACAATAAGAAAATAAGGGAGCAGATGGAAAATATTTGAACATAGTTCAACAAATATCCGCAAATCATCACTACGAAGAAAACAGGATCATACACTGGATTCACTTCTAAAAGGAGGCCTCAGGTTATCAAATATCTTATAATATATGACTACTGATTCAACAGAAAGACACACAAGTCATCACGAAGTTTAGCCGCCTATTTTGAACATTTGAAATAGGGGGATGAGAACATGGTTGTTATCATCCCGAGGAGAAAGTTAAAACTAATTCAGGATTCCGACCGAAAAGTCACATATTCATGATTTATGAGGTGAAGATCTCTCATTGACACATATTCAGTGTCAAATAAGAGTAAACCATTTTATGTGGTGAAGATCTCTCATGCACGTGCATTCAATGGAAAACATGGTGCATTAGCATAATCATAAATAAGTTTTTAATGATGATAAAATTAAAATATAGCAAGCTCAAACTCATGGAAAATGAATCAGATTCAACATGAGGATCTCGAATGTATAGTGAACATAATTTCATTAATACATGGATGAAAAAACAATTAATATATAGATGTAGTAGAAAGTGTTAGGCGAGGCTCAACAAAATGACTCGTGTTACTTCTAATTCCAGCACTCCCTTTCAAGTGTTAAACTAGTGAAAGTTGCACATCCATACCACGAAACTTTTTTTTGAGATTTTTATATAATTTAGATAAAGAATTAAGATCATAGGATTCAAACTCCTCGTCATTTTCTTAAACTAAATCAAGAGGCCATTCAACCTGAAATCTCAATGATGCAAAATAAGATGTCATATGAATTTATTTTTAATTTGATGAATATTCATAACTTGATCATTATTTAAGAGGTTATGTTATTTATTTTTCCTTTTATCTTTGTAATTTATTTTCTTATATTTTTTAATAAACTTTTGATGTATGATATAGTTAAGAGAGAGAGAGAGAGAGAGACCTTAAAATAGGAAATAAAGAGGTTTATTTCCTATTTAAGGCCGTCTCTCTCTCTTTCTTAACTATATCATACTTGTGCATTGTTTTTCAAGTTAGTTTTATGGTTGAATTAAAGAGTAAAGAGTTAATAACCTTCCTTAGGTTACCAATGTGGGGGGGGTGCGTCTTTAAAATTATTTAAAAACGAGGATTTAATTTCAATTGATATGGAGGAGGGTCTTAAAATCAGTTGGAAAGAGAATTTAGTCTCAATTAACATGGAAGCTAGTTCTATGATGTTTTAATAGATCTAATTTCTTTGTGGATTCACAAAGATTGTCCTAGTAGATTCTAAGTGGTTATCTATCTTATTTTCCTTCAATTTCCTACTCTATCCCACATACTTCACTTAATCTTTAATTGCACCTCAAAGAATGGTATTTATTATATTCTCCAGCATCCACTAAGAACAATATAAATTATTTGAGTTTTACCTAATATCATACAGTAAATTGGTGGCAAAGTGCATATTGTAATGAAACCATTTTTCTTCCCTTTATATCCTAGTTAATAGAGCATGAGCTTATGGAAGAAAAGCATAAAAGAATTGGTTATTCTGAGACCTGGATCACCATACAACTTGTGTTAAAGGGACAGGATATGATTAGGATTTGGTTGGAGGCTTGGGATTTGTTTGGCTTTGTTGTTGGCTGCCATGGAGTAAGTAAACAGTAAATCATCATTTATGGGACAGAAGTAATCGCAGATGTTTTTCCCTTATTTTATTTTATTTTTATTTTTTTGCCATCAAAAGACATTGTAAGAACAGGATAATGATAAAAAAAAAAACACTTTGGAAGAAAGGTTGAGAAAAAAAAAAAAAGGGTAATTAGCGCGCGCAGGTATCCAATAGCCATATATCTTTATCTTGGATATGAGTTCTTATTTCGGCATATAGCCAAACCAAAGGCAGAAACAAAACAAAGCTACATTTGCTTCTTAATTACGCTAGCCTCTGACCCAGCAAAGCAGGAGAGACCTAGAATTAGCTTGCAGCAACTATTTTATGCAAGACTGATAAACAGATGGCAAATCCACATGATTCCTCGAAAGTTTCTCTTTTGCACAAGCGAAACCAGCAACATGGAAAACCATAGCCTTATTTTAATCAAGTAAAGATGATACCTAGAGAAATGAATGTTCACTAGGCTTGACCCAGGCTATTGGGAAGTAAGTCTCGTTTGAGTTGATAAATTACCCTTTAATTATTTTAATTGGTCTGGCTATATATATGCATGTGGTCACTAATCAAACATTTACACTTAAGTACTAAACTAACATCAAGAGCAAGAAAACTTTTACCAATATATTGTGATCACAGTGCCTACCTAGGAGAAAGCAATACGTTTCTTTTCAGAAGCAATGCAAAATAAATACATGGCAGGGCAGGAAATCGTGTAAGGTAAAGAATACAAAGTACACCTCAATCTAAGAGCCCTCAAGCTCCCCCACCCCCCACCTTCCAACAGTCAGCTAGATTCCAAGTTTGTTTTTTTTTTAATATGTGTGTGTGTGTGTGTGTATCCTTTTACTTGGTTAAAGATGAAATTCCAATTTTTTTTAGATGGTCTGAGGCATGATATTTATAAATTTATTGCCAGTCTTTATCAGCCATTGACACCCTCAAAGGTCTCCTATAGCTCAGCTAGAGTACTTAGACTTCTAAGAAACAAACCATCTATATGATCTCCATCAATTCTATCATGGAAAAGAAAATATGCTACTGTTCAATGCTAACCGTCACTGACATGATAGGGTACGTAAACTGTTTGTAGTTCTTGATTAAGCAGGAATAGCTAAAGAGGATGTTTAATTTAGAAGTATATATAGCAGAAAATCAAGGAAGAACTCCTATTCATTGTTTCCTTTCAGGTGAATTTGGAAAAGAAGGAATCGATAGATCCAACACATGAACCCTAATGGACAATTATATTTGTTAAGATCTATCTCTAACCTGTCTTCAAACACAGATTGACATTGATGGACCCAAGAGGTAATATATAAAAGCCCGGCACATAAAATATTTAGGAAGCAGAAACCAGAAAGATAATGACAAATCAACTTTAAACCCAACAGAATAAAAACACCAGGTTAGATTTTTGATGATATAAAGAAAAGAATAGGTGAGATCAGGCCCTTTAATTTTGACAGGTAATAAAGCCTGAGAGCTCGTACTCTTATAGTAGTACTTGCTTTGCTTGCTATCTAACATGCTGGTGGACCTTATAAAGACTTAGAATCAAATCTCAATCAATTTTTTCATCAGACAAGTTTATAACTGAGATCAAATTCTTGAGATGGACAATTCAATGCATCATCACATGCTTAAGAAACCGTGAGATAATAATTAGAAAACACATGGTAGTACAAGTAGATATGTTCGTGTAAGAAATAAAATAAAAATTAAGCACACTGTACCTAGAGCTGGAAAACTCATAGAGTTTCCCTCTAGTGGAGAAAACAATAAGTGCAACTTCAGCATCACAAAGAACTGATAACTCAAAGGCCTTTTTAAGCAGTCCATTTCTTCTCTTTGAAAAGGTCACTTGCCTGCTCGTTGCATTCTCTATTCTCTTCATCTGAGTCTTTCCTCTCACCATTTTTATGGTACACCTAAAAGAAGAAATAAAAAAAAAAAAAGAGAGAAGGAAATAAATGAAAATGGAGAGACCCAGAAATCAAAATGGCAGATTTGGTGCATCTGTGAAGTGAAACTGACTGATTGATACACTCTAACATGAAAGATTGCAAACAACTAGGAAAGACCCACTTAATGTTTCCAAAAGTAGAAAGGGGATAACCAAATCCGAACAATTAGGAAATGCCTGACAACTAACCTTTATGTGCAGCAGTTAAGAAGAAGAAAAACAAGGAAGATATTGGCTAGTGAAGTTTCAAATCTCAAGAGACCCAGTACAGAGAATTGAAAGATCACAAAAACCCTAGAGAGAATATCATCATCAGAGGAAAGATTAGCTGAAAGATTGATGAGTGACTACCCTAGTTTGTTCTAGCAACATAACCCTAGTGGGTATATAAATCAATAAAAAACAATAAAGAAAGAGCACCATCAAGAACCTGATCTCTTTCTTCTTTTGGTAATTTGAGTAAAAAAAACAGACACCTCCCAAAAAAAGAAAAACTGGGAATAATAATGCATTTAAACGCAAAAAATAACAACATGTGATTCCCATTATTACCACCACTCTATCAAGCGACAAAGTTAGATGCACCAAGGATTTGATACCATGCTGTCATGTGGTGACACCTGGCATAAAGTATGACTGACAACTTCCCATTCCCGGTATCCAATGAAGGGGCAACGCCCCCATGTGAATTGCGAGACAGTGAGCATTCCTGTCGGTTGCCAGTTTCTCTCAGACAAGTTTTTAAACGCCTCCAAAGCCGGGTAGCATGCAAAACTTGGGCACCTAATCGGACACCATACCCTCGGTCCGTACAAGGCGAGAGACACGTCAAGTCTTGTTCCGTACAATGACATAAAGGCTCAGCCAATCGATTTACCCCAGCACAGCTTGTCACGTGGGTAAGCCCCCCCCTTTTTTTTGTTTTTTTCCAGGTGATGGGTTACTGTGGGGTTTTGTGCACCACAGAGTGTTTCTGTGTTTTCCCTTTTCTTCCTCTGGGTCTTGTGGGGACCCTTGATATGTCGCTGGGCCTCGACGGGAGGCGGCCTGAGTGGATGATGGGCAAGTGTGTTTATCATCGATGATTGTGATCTTGTTGATCATCATCACAAGATTAATGTGGATCTAAGAGCATAATCAAGGCTAATTAATGAAGTGTCAGTATGCTAACCTATCCTATAATGCATGGTTTAGCCTTTTCCTAGCTAGGTCCATCTTTATTAAAGTTATGGAAGGAAGAATGGATGGATAATATCCTCGCACTATTCTCTACCCTTTTGTTTTCTGTTTGATTCTTTGGTTAAGAGCCGCGTTGCAACCGCCCCCGTTTCTTGCATGAATTCCCGTTTTGTGGGTTTTCTTGTATATTATTTGCCCTTGCTATCGTGTGTTAGCGACGATCACTCATTATTTAACAGCAATTAATTAGCTTATCTAATCTTATATGGTTGTCATTGGCAAAAGTTGATTAGATGGTGTCCATCACCACCTATTAATTCTCTGCTTTTTGGGCTCCAATTATGTTCTACAACCCTCCTTCCCTTAAAATCCCTGATCTCTTTCGCTTAAGAAAGAGCTTGTGGTGTTTTTTTTACTTCTCACTTCATCTTTGTGATTACTTTATTTCAAGATGCATTGAACATCCCTTCAAATATATGTAAATATAAAAGGCGTCTTAGTTAATTTCTTGTTGAATGTATAGTTGATCTGCCTGTATACGTGTTTTTGTAATAAATAATCATATCTTAAGATTAGTCAAAATACACTAAGGATCTTAATATGTACGTAATAGCAAAAGTGACGACTTAATATAAAAAAAAAAAAAAAAAACAGTACGAATTTGACAAAATTATAGCAATTCATGACATGTGGTTAACGTTAAACTGGTTCAAAACCGAAACAATTGTTTTCATTAATGTTGTTTGAGCAAAATGTCCTTTTACGGGCATCAAATTCCTCTATATGAAGAGTTAGAAACGGCGCCCATGCACGCAGACCTTTTATGCTCGACGGATTCTTTACAAGCCAAATTTTTAACCACGGTTGGCAGTTGCCACTCTACCAGAAAATCGGACAGAGCCGCCGGAAAATTTCGTTGACATTTAGAGGGTATTATAAATTATTTTATTGATATTTTTAATTTTAATTTTTGTTTGTTATAATCTCAAAGTTAATAATTATTCAAAATAAACTCATTTATACAAGCCCTAAAATACAAATTTTACTCAATTATACAACAAATAAAACACTTAAATATATAAGAAATATAAAAAAAAACTATAAATAAATTTTAATAGTTTAACTTAAGATATAAATTGGTTGTTAATGGATGAGTTTGTTTACTTAAAAAATTAAAGTTTGACAAGACAGGGAACCATTAGAGGGAAGCTTAAGCCTTGTAAAAGGTATTGCACTAGTAGATTGTGGCGACTAGATTCGTGGAGGTTTGAAAGAGAAAAAGAGAGAGGGTGGATAATTTTTTAATCTATAAAATATATGATTTTTTTGTAATACATTACCTTACAAAATATCATTTATTTCAATAATATTTTTTTAATTTATAATTTTTTTCAGTTTAAATTTTATCATTTAATATTCAATTATTTTCATGATTTATTTTAATTTATTTTTTAATGGTTTATTCCAATTTCATAACCCAAGTCACTTCATAATTCTATGCTTCATAATTTATTTTGATTTATTTTATCTTATGTTATATCAGTCTCATGATCTAAGTCGCGAGTTTAGCTATTAACTCATATTGACTCAAGTTATTTTTTAGTTTTTTTTAAATTAAATTTTTTTTCTTTAATTTTATCTTTCAACATTGGATTAATTATGAATTATACTTCATAATTTATTTTAATTTATTTTATATGAGATTATCTCAAAACTATGATCTAGATAACAGTTTGGTAGTTTAACCCGAGTTGTCTCCGGTAATTTTTTTAATTTATTTTCTATAAGATTATTTCGATCTCATGATCCAAGTCACAAGTTTAGCAAGTTAACCTGGGATGTCTGCGATCTTTTTTTGTCCTTTTCTTAATTGATTTTTTTTAATTTCATCATTCAACATTGAGTTGATTGAGAATTGAGTTTTATAATTTATTTTGATTTTTTTCTATGGGGTTATCCTAGTTTTATGATCGAGATTATAATCTTTTCAAGTAACCGGGGTTGACTTAGGTTATTTTTTTAATTAATTTTACTTTTCAATCTCACCTTTAACATTCTATTTCATTAGAAATTAGATTTCATAATTTGTTTTGATTTGTTTTTTGTTTGGGTTATCATGGTTTTATGATTAGGGTTGTGGACTTGGTAAGTTAATCTAAGTTGATCCAATATATTATTGTCTTAATATTTAAAAAAAATAACATCTTGATTTTTTTTCTTAAATCAAACTACAATGTTACTAGTTGGCTAAGTTGTCTTTAAACTCACTAAATTGATTAGGCCATACTAGGTCAATCCTCTACATGGTTTAATTAATTTAGTGTTTGTTAGAAAAAAAATTAGCAATATACCTGGATATTCTTTTTACGTTAAAAAATAATTTAATTCCAGCATATTACGAGTCAATAATCTAGTTTTGAATATTATAGTAAAAAAAATAAAACACATTATGTAAAGTTGACTTTTAAAACAAACACAAAGATGAAGAAACTTTTCTCCACAAATTTAAAAATTTGAACTTATACCACAATGCAAGTTTTTATCATATGTGCACCTTGACCAATAAATAAAGTTAGACAATTTTGTGCTTCAGTTTATGATAGCATAAATATTATACATTATAATTAACACACGCATATGACAATTTATTTTACATGCTACTATGCTACTATGCTACTATATGGCATCTCATAGTTGGTGGACACCATTATAATATAGCAGTGCAATGGTTACATCAAGCTTTTTATAATTTAGTTTTTTTATTGTTTAAGAAATTAAATTTTACATCTTTGATAAATCTAAATTCTCATACCCAATGAAATGATTTAATCACTTTCATATATAATATATGAGAAACTTATTGAAATGATAAACCATCAAATTATCAAACACATTTTTTGAAACTATTTCTCTCTCAAATTGATTTTCATATGTTAACCCTAACAACTTTTATTAGGGCTATTTTAATCTATGCAGAGAAGAGAAGGATTGTATGTTGTTTGATTTATTATTAACCCTACAAACTATTTTGTTTAGTTTAGCGCGTAGAAGAGGATGAATTGATTGGGGGTAATTTTTTAAAGAATCAGAGGTTAAAGTACATATAAAGTGCAATTTTTTTGTTTTCTTATGCAATTTTAATTTTGGATTTGTAAATTTTTGTTTATATTTGTCAAATTTTTAGTAATGTTTTATTTCAACCTAATTATTAAACTAATAAATTAAAAGTTTTCACCCATGTTCATAAAATTTTCTTTTGAATTTAATTTTTATTTTTTGTTGATAATTACATTACTTAACACAGGGTTTTATTTTATTCATGTTTCAGTCCTTGAATTTGTGGAAATAAAACGATACTGAGACTTCGTTTGTTTGCTAAAATGTAGTTTTTTTTTTTTTAGAAAATAGTTTTCTTGAAAAGTAAATTTCTGAAAAGTAAATTTCTGAAAAGTAAATTATTTTTTGATGTTTGGTAGTATCATGAAAAATAAATTAAAAAACACTTTTCAATATTTAGTTATGTCATGGAAAATAAGCTAGAAAATAACTTATTAATATATTTTTTTTCAAGTTTATTAAAATAATGAGAAACAAATCTTACAAATAAAAAAAGTTAAATGAGAATAATATTGGAAAAAATATAATTTCATAAATTATCTCAAATAAAATAAATAACAATCAAAATAATAAAGATCAAATCTATTAAATAAAAAATTGAAAGATAGTGAAATTAAAATAATAATAATTACAATTTCATAAATTATCTCAAATAAAATAAGTAAAAATAAAAAGAATGAAAATCAAATTTAATAGATAAAAACTTTCAATTAAAAAATAATTAGAGAAAAGAAAATAACAATCATAAAAATAAGGATCAAAGTTAATATAAAAATCAAACTAAATCAAATTTTAAGGGGGTAAAATTGAAAAAAAAATCAAAATAAAATATATAGCAATCAAAAGTTTGAGCATCAAATTTGTTAAAATCAACTAATAATATGATATTTTTAAATTTTTCACAATTTCTAGAAAGTGTTTTCTGTCCAAAATAAAAAGAAAATACTTTCCTGGAAACTAAGCTGAATTTTTTTTTATCTCGAAAGTATTTTTTATTGACCAATTTTTTTAATAACAAACAATCGCAAAAAATTTTGGAAAGTGGTTTTCACTTTCTGCTAAACAAATGAGGCCTAAAAAGAAAAAAACGAGAAAAAAAGTAGTTAATTGGCCACATTTGAGCAACAA